TCAAGAACTGTATACAGATGTAGGATCTTAATTTGAGCCAGTTTGCTACAGCAGGAAAATAACCCTGCAGCAACAGGAAATATGAACTATTATGTGGATTATAATTCATGTACATTTTTGTAAGGGTTGATACATTTTTCATAACGGAAAATCAAATCTGAAATTTCAAAATGTACATTACAAACTTCAGAAGCCTTTTTAAACCTCAAATACACTACAAGTTCTGAATGTTCTGCATTGCAAAGATCCTACATCTGTAACCCTGCTTTCTCCCCTCTCTCTCTCGCACGTGCAGTCTCGCTCATTCTCTCGCGCTCTCGCTCTCTCTCACTCTTTCGCTCTCTCTCTCGCTCACTCTTTCCCTCTGCTACCAGGCCCAGACTGTACTCTATAGGTTGTCCAATCAAAAACGCATCTTTTGACCAATATGATTTCAAATCAAATTAAATCAATTTGTGTCACATACACGTGTTTAGCAGATGTTATTGCGGGTGTAGCGAAATTCTTGTCAAAACACTTTCTGAGCTAATAATGTAAAAAACAATACATAAAAAAACAAAATACCCTTTAACCTTGTAGGATGGCCAGAATTAGGGTGACTAACTCAATGCAGGCCAGAAAAAAGTGGTCAAAAATCATAGCATTGCGTCAGCTAGGCTGGATGCTGTGTGAGAATTACGGCTACCTGACAGGCTCACCATTGAACTCGTCCTCTTTCTTCTTGAATCTGGAGGCTATAAAACAATATGGAGGTAAGATAGATATCGATTTTGAGACATTTCATATTTTAGTATTCACTTTTCATATTAATGCGGAATTCCTCTTCATTTTCAAAGATTTCTCACAAAAACAAGCATATCTCTGTGAAACATCAATGGAGCACAGAGCGTACCGCAAGCTATTTATTTTTAAAGCCTTTTACATTTAATTCAGCTTGTGACATGCTAATTTATCTTTTTGTGACCCCCGGAAACAACTTTGCAGATGACCACCACAACATGTAAAATCCTCACAGGTTGCTGGGATGAAGCGGCTCCGCTCTGTCGACAGAGCTCAGTGCTTATTATCCGATGTATTAGTTTACGAAATCAGACTTTTTGGATATAATGTTATTGATATGTTAGAGAAAGACCCCACTGAACAATTCAGAACATGAATAATTATTTTTGTCTTGGTAAAATGTATTTTATAACATAAGGAAGTGAAATGTCATCACCAAAGCATGTTTTCACCTACTCTGGGCAGAGTGGGTGGGCACTTTTTTCTCTCTCCTTTTGACTAGCCTAGGTACTAGTTTGTTTGTGCCATGATGTTTGGCAAGACAAGGAGTGGCACAAACAGACTGGTACCCAGGCAACCTTTTGACTCCAGTCTTAGACAGCTGTTCTTTCTATTAGCCCTGACTCGACCCTATACAGTGCTATGAAAAAGTATTTGCCCCCTTTCTAATTTTCTCTACTTTTGCATATTTGTGATACTGAATGTTATCAGATCTTCAACCAAAACCTAATATTAGATAAAAGGAACATAAGTGAACAAATAACACAACAATTACATATATATATATATATATTTTTTTTTTCATATTTATTTCATTTATTTCATAAACAAAGTTATGCAACACCCAATTCCCCTGTGTGAAAAAGTAATTGCCCCCTTACACTCAATAACTGGTTGTGCCACCTTTAGCTGCAATGACTCCAACCAAATGCTTCCTGTAGTTGTTGATCAGTCTCTCACGTCACTGTGGAGGAATTTTGGCCCACTCTTCCATGCAGAACTGCTTTAACTCAGTGACGTGTGGGTTTTCAAGCATGAACTGCTCGTTTCAAGTCCTGCCACAACATCTCAATTGGGATTAGGTCTGGACTTTGACTAGGCCATTCCAAAACTTCCAATTTGTTGCTTTTTAACAATTTTCATGTAGACTTGATTGTGTGTTTTGGATCATTGTCTTGCTGCATGACCCAGCTGCGCTTCAGCTTCAGCTCACAGACGGATGGTCTGACATTCTCCTGTAGAATTCTCTGATACAGAGCAGAATTCATGGTTCCTTCTATTAAGGCAAGTCGTCCAAGTCCTCAGGCAGCAAAGCATCCCCAAACCATCACACCACCACCACCATGCTTGACCTTTGGTATGATGTTCTTACTGTGGAATGCAGAGTTTGGTTTTCGCCAGGCATTACTGGAAGTCCTAACCGACTGGCCAAAACTAGAGTTTGTTAACAAGAAATTTGTGGAGCGGTTGAAAAACAAGTTTTAATGATTCCAACCTAAGTGTATGTAAACTTCCGACTTCAACTGTATACAGCGAGCTCCAAAAGTATTGGGATAGTGACACATTTGTGACACATTTGTTTATCGTTTTGTCTCTGTACTCATAGCACGCAATGACTACATTAAGCTTGACTCTACAAATTTGTTGGATGCATTTGCTGGATGCATTATTTGGGCACAAAATAATCTGAAACACAACCAAAACAACCAGCAAATGCATCCAAGTTTGTGGAGTCACAAGCTTGATGTAAACATTGCATGCTAGGAATATGGGACCAAATACTAAACTTGTGACAACTTTAATACACATATACAGTGAGGGAAAAAAGTATTTGATCCCCTGCTGATTTTGTACATTTTCCCACTGACAAAGACATGATCAGTCTATAATTGTAATGGTAGGTTTATTTGAACAGTGAGAGACAGAATAACAACAAAAAAATCCAGAAGAACGCATGTCAAAAATGTTATAAATTTATTTGCATTTTATTGAGGGAAATAAGTATTTGACCCCTCTGCAAAACATGACTTAGTACTTGGTGGCAAAACCCTTGTTGGCAATCACAGAGGTCAGACGTTTCTTGTAGTTGGCCACCAGGTTTGCACACATCTCAGGAGGGATTTTGTCCCACTCCTCTTTGCAGATCTTCTCCAAGTTATTAAGGTTTCGAGGCTGACGTTTGGCAACTCGAACCTTCAGCTCCCTCCACATATTTTCTATGGGATTAAGGTCTGGAGACTGGCTAGGCAACTCCAGGACCTTAATGTGCTTCTTCTTGAGCCACTCCTTTGTTGCCTTGGCCGTGTGTTTTGGGTCATTGTCATGCTGGAATACCCATCCACGACCCATTTTCAATGCCCTGGCTGAGGGAAGGAAGTTCTCACCCAAGATTTGACGGTACATGGCCCCGTCCATCATCCCTTTGATGCGGTGAAGTTGTCCTGTCCCCTTAGCAGAAAAACACCCCCAAAGCATAATGTTTTCACCTCCATGTTTGACGGTGAGGATGGTGTTCTTGGGGTCATAGGCAGCATTCCTCCTCCTCCAAACATGGCGAGTTGAGTTGATGCCAAAGAGCTCGATTTTGGTCTCATCTGACCACAACACTTTCACCCAGTTCTCCTCTGAATCATTCAGATGTTCATTGGCAAACTTCAGACAGGCCTGTATATGCAGGATTTCAGTCCTTCACGGCGTAGTGTGTTACCAATTGTTTTCTTGGTGACTATGGTCCTAGCTGCCTTGAGATCATTGACAAGATCCTCCTGTGTAGTTCTGGGCTGATTCCTCACCGTTCTCATGATCATTGCAACTCCACAAGGTGAGATCTTGCATGGAGCCCCAGGCCGAGAGAGATTGACAGTTCTTTTGTGTTCCATTTGTGAATAATCACACCAACTGTTGTCACCTTCTCACCAAGCTGCTTGGCGATGGTCTTGTAGCCCATTCCAGCCTTGTGTAGGTCTACAATCTTGTCCCTGACATCCTTGGAGAGCTCTTTGGTCTTGGCCATGGTGGAGAGTTTGGAATCTGATTGATTGATTGCTTCTGTGGACAGGTGTCTTTTATACAGGTAACACGCTGAGATTAGGAGCACTCCCTTTAAGAGTGTGCTCCTAATCTCAGCTTGTTACCTGTATAAAAGACACCTGGGAGCCAGAAATCTTTCTGATTGAAAGGGGGTCAAATACTTATTTCCCTCATTAAAATGCAAATCAATTTATAACATTTTTGACATGCGTTCTTCTGGATTTTGTTGTTGTTATTCTGTCTCTCACTGTTCAAATAAACCTACCATTAAAATTATAGACTGATCATGTCTTTGTCAGTGGGCAAACGTACAAAATCAGCAGGGGATCAAATACTTTTTTTCCCTCACTGTAAGTGAATTTCGCCGAATACTTTTAGTCTCCTAAAATGGGGGGACTATGTACAAAAAGTGATGTAATTTCTAAACGGTTCACCCGATATGGATGAAAATACCCTCAAATTAAATCTGACAGTCTGCACTTTAACCTCATAGTCGTTGTATCACTTCAAATGTGCTGGAGTACAGAGCCAAAACAACAAAAAATGTGTCACTGTCCCAGTACTTTTGGAGCTCACTGTATATATACACGGCGTGCCCTCAGAACAGCCTCAATTCTTCGGGGCATAGACTCTACAAGGTGTTGAAAGCGTTCCACAGGGATGCTGGCCCATGTTGACTCCAATGCTTCCCACAGTTGTGTCAAGTCGGCTGGATGTCCTTTGGGTGGTGGACCATTCTTGATACACACGGGAAACTGTTGAGCGTGAAAAACCCAGCAGCGTTGCAGTTCTTGACACAAACCGTTGCACCTGGCACCTACTACCATACCCCATTCAAAGACACTTAAATCTTTTGTCTTTCCCATTCACCCTCTGAATGGTACACATACACAATCCATGTCTCAATTGTCTCAAGGCTTAAAAATCCTTCTTTAACCTGTCTCCTCCCCTTCATCTACATTGATTGAAGTGGATTTAACAAGTGACATCAATAAGGGATCATATCTTTCACCTGGATTCACCTGGTCAGTCTATTTCATGGAAAGGATAGGTGTTCTTAATGTTTTGTACACTCAGTGTATATCCTGTGTATAACCCTGTCTCTGCCCTCTCCCCGGCTGTCTCCCCCCTACCCTCCCCTAAAGTCTCAGACGGCGGCCCAGCTCCATGAGAGGATCCAGTCATCCAGTATGGATGCCAAGCTGGAGTCTCTGAAGGACCTGGCCAACTCTTCCAGAGACATCACCTTCGCCCAGGAGTTCATCAACCTGGACGGCATCTCACTGCTCACACAGATGGTGGAGAGTGGCACGGAGTACGTACTTCCTCTTTTCCTTTCTCCTCCCTTATTTTACTCTATCTTCCCCCCGGCAACCCCACCTCATTCCCAAGCAGTGTTCTCTTAAATGGTGGTCTCCCTCTGTCAGGAATACCTGGAATAGTATAAAAGTAATCCTTCTACCCACCCCCCCCCACCCCCCCATAAAAAAAATTATAGATATATTGGGTGGTTGTCCCACTAGCTATCATAAGTTGAATTAATCAATTTGTAAGTCGCTCTGGATAAGAGCGTCTGCTAAATGACTGAAATGTAAATGTAAAATGTCTCTGCCTGTTTCGCTGGGCTTTGGACTTGGTAGGCTGGCTGTGTCCCAGATGGCATCCTATTCCCTGTATAGTGCACTACTTTTGATGCAGGGCCAATAGGGTTCAGGGCAAAAGTAGTGTAGGTAATAGGGTGGCGTTTTGGAAGCTGTCTCTGGCTCAGCGGAAGGTTACGGGGAGGGCAGGCGGTGGCGTTTTGGAAGCTGTCTCTGGCTCAGCGGAAGGTTACGGGGAGGGCAGGCAGTGGCGTTTTTGAAGCTGTCTCTGGCTCAGCGGAAGGTTACGGCGAGGGCAGGCGGTGGCGTTTTGGAAGCTGTCTCTGGCTCAGCGGAAGGTTACGGCGAGGGCAGGCGGTGGTGTTTTGGAAGCTGTCTCTGGCTCAGCGGAAGGTTACGGGGAGGGCAGGCGGTGGCGTTTTGGAAGCTGTCTCTGGCTCAGCGGAAGTTTACGGCGAGGGCAGGCGGTGGCGTTTTGCTGAGGTGGAGTTTCTCAGCCGTGATGTTGACTGGAACCCCATGGGGGGAGGAGGCAGGGGGGGAGGAGGCAGGGGGAGAGGAGGGAGGGAGGGTAGGGGAAGGGGCCAGTTTGGGCTCACAGCCCCACTGCCAGAGAGCCAGGGAGGGAGAGGAGAGCCAGGGTCATGCTATGTGAGCGTAGAGTGATTGCAGAGTCAAAACACACATTGTAGACGCGCTCACAGTCAAAGCAAGACACACACACACACACACACACACACACCCTCTGTTTCTCACACACTCACCCCCCCCATTCAATCACACACAGTCAGCCGTCTCCAGTCACCCAGAGCTGTTTGCACTGTACTATACTGAACGGCCCTGAATCCAACCAAATGCTTGTCATTCCCAGCAGACTCTCATTAAAGGCTAGCCCGAGGGCTCTGGACACAGGGTTTACTGGCTGAGAGGGCATCAGTGGTCTGAAACACACACGTGTTCTGCTACATGACATCCTCATTAAGCCTCCCCAGCCCAGAGAGACTTCCCAGTCAGTAGCTGCTCGCATGCAAAGGGCTTTACCATCACCATGCAAGGTCAGCCCTAATACAAACTCTCCCTGATAGACCAAACACACACTCTCTCTGACAGACCAAACACACACTCGCTCTGATAGACCAAACACACACTCTCTCTGATAGACCAAACACACACTCTCTCTGATAGACCAAACACACACACTCTCTGATAGACCAAACACACACTCTCTCTGATAGACCAAACACACACTCTCTCTCTGGCTGGAGAGCACAGCTGAACTCATCATACACTGGCACTTGGAATTACTGTTCCTCTACAATAGGAACTAGTACCTTCCATTCTGTTAGTGTATCCCCCCTCTACAATAGGAACTAGTATCTTCCATTCTGTTAGTGTATCCCCCCTCTACAATAGGAACTAGTACCTTCCATTCTGTTAGGTGTATCCCCCCTCTACAATAGGAACTAGTACCTCCATTCTGTTAGTGTATCCCCCTCTACAATAGGAACTAGTACCGTTCCATTCTGTTTAGTGTATCCCCCCTCTACAATAGGAACTAGTACCTTCCATTCTGTTTAGTGTATTCCCCCTCTACAATAGGAACTAGTACCTTCCATTCTGTTAGTGTATCCCCCCTCTCAATAGGAACTAGTACCTTCCATTCTGTTAGTGTATCCCTCTCTACAATAGGAACTAGTACCTTCCATTCTGTTAGTGTATCCCTCTCTACAATAGGAACTAGTACCTTCCATTCTGTTAGTGTATCCCCCTCTACAATAGGAACTAGTACCTTCCATTCTGTTAGTGTATCCCCCTCTACAATAGGAACTAGTACCTTCCATTCTGTTAGTGTATCCCCCTCTACCATAGGAACTAGTACATTCCATTCTGTTAGTGTATCCCCCTCTACAATAGGAAACTAGTACCTTCCATTCTGTTAGTGTATCCCCCCTCTACAATAGGAACTAGTTACCTTCCATTCTGTTAGTGTATCCCCCTCTACAATAGGAACTAGTACATTCCATTCTTGTTAGTGTATCCCCTCTACAATAGGAACTAGTACCTTCCATTCTGTTAGTGTATCCCCCTCTACAATAGGAACTAGTACCTTCCATTCTGTAGTGTACCCCCCTCTACAATAGGAACTAGTACCTTCCATTATGTTAGTGTATCTCCCCTCTACAATAGGAACTAGTACCTTCCATTCTGTTAGTGTATCCCCCTCTACAATAGGAACTAGTACCTTCCATTCTGTTAGTGTATCCCCCCTCTACAATAGGAACTAGTACCTTCCATTCTGTTAGTGTATCCCCCTCTACAATAGGAACTAGTACCTTCCATTCTGTTAGTGTATCCCCCCTCTACAATAGGAACTAGTACCTTCCATTCTGTTAGTGTATCCCCCTCTACAATAGGAACTAGTACATTCCATTCTGTTAGTGTATCCCCCTCTACAATAGGAACTAGTACATTCCATTCTGTTAGTGTATCCCCCTCTACAATAGGAACTAGTACCTTCCATTCTGTTAGTGTATCCCTCTCTACAATAGGAACTAGTACCTTCCATTCTGTTAGTGTATCCCCCTCTACAATAGGAACTAGTACCTTCCATTCTGTTAGTGTATCCCCCCTCTACAATAGGAACTAGTACATTCCATTCTGTTAGTGTATCCCCCTCTACAATAGGAACTAGTACATTCCATTCTGTTAGTGTATCCCCCTCTACAATAGGAACTAGTACCTTCCATTCTGTTAGTGTATCCCTCTCTACAATGGGAACTAGTACCTTCCATTCTGTTAGTGTATCCCCCTCTACAATAGGAACTAGTACATTCCATTCTGTTAGTGTATCCCCCTCTACAATAGGAACTAGTACATTCCATTCTGTTAGTGTATCCCCCTCTACAATAGGAACTAGTACCTTCCATTATGTTAGTGTATCTCCCCTCTACAATAGGAACTAGTACCTTCCATTATGTTAGTGTATCCCCCTCTACAATAGGAACTAGTACATTCCATTCTGTTAGTGTATCCCCCTCTACAATAGGAACTAGTACATTCCATTCTGTTAGTGTATCCCCCTCTACAATAGGAACTAGTACCTTCCATTCTGTTAGTGTATCCCCCTCTACAATAGGAACTAGTACCTTCCATTCTGTTAGTGTATCCCCCTCTACAATAGGAACTAGTACCTTCCATTCTGTTAGTGTATCCCCCTCTACAATAGGAACTAGTACCTTCCATTCTGTTAGTGTATCCCTCTCTACAATAGGAACTAGTACCTTCCATTCTGTTAGTGTATCCCCCCTCTACAATAGGAACTAGTACCTTCCATTCTGTTAGTGTATCCCCCCTCTACAATAGGAACTAGTACATTCCATTCTGTTAGTGTATCCCCCTCTACAATAGGAACTAGTACATTCCATTCTGTTAGTGTATCCCTCTCTACAATAGGAACTAGTACCTTCCATTCTGTTAGTGTATCCCCCTCTACAATAGGAACTAGTACATTCCATTCTGTTAGTGTATCCCCCTCTACAATAGGAACTAGAAGAGTACCTTCCATTCTGTTAGTGTATCTCCCCTCTACAATAGGAACTAGAAGAGTACCTTCCATTCTTGTACAGGGGAGGTGAAGACCCACCACAGTTACATTCAGTATGTGTGCCTCCCGTGCGATACCCTATTCCCTAATATATTGCACTACTTTAGACCAGGGCCCATAGTAGTGTTGACATATCTCCCTTTACTGTATAGATTGATTGTGCCATTAAAGCAAAACGATTCACACTCATGAAGCCCAAAGACTTCAATATTATTATTTTGTGATCTTGATTTAAATGCTCTTAATGCATATTCATTTCCCTATTAATAAATTCCCCTCCTTCATGCTCCTATAAGTAGTGCTGCCCACTTAATTCCCCCATGATGCATACTGCCACCTCAGGCCTCTTTCTTTAAATAGGTTTTATGTAGATGACTCCTGCGTCAACAGAGCATAGCCCCGGAGTTTGAAAGTGCAGGTGTGTGTGTATCAGTGTTTATAACTCATCTTCATTCCTGCTGACCGACTAGTGTAATATAATAATTCACAGGCTTAGGAAAAAGAGACACCAGGGAGCAGTACTTTCTAATATCCCAGTCTGGGGCATGACATCATGCTGTATTAATGTGGGCTACCCTATCAGTGATTGAAAGACATGTTGCGCCCCCTATTGGTGTAGTAACATAACAGATACATTCCAGAACTGCTGAGAATGTACAGTTGAACCAATGTCAACTGGCGAACATTTTGGATCCCTGGGGAATTATGTTAATTTTGTAGCAAGCTTACTGTTTTATCACAAAAGAAGATGATGTTAAGATCTCGCATGAGATCTTCTCGTTGTTTAAATGAATTGTTGACAATTTTTTGGTCTGTTTGTTGTCATCTTTGCAAGCATAGCCTGTTGTGTAACGCTGTCTGTCTGTCTGTCAAGGTAAGACTCCAACTGCTTCCCAAGCCATACTTCGGCTTTGCATGCTTTGTGTGTGTGTGCCTGTGTCTGTCTGTGTGTGTGCGCGCGTGCGTGCATGTTCAGAGTCTGTTATTTGAGTGTGTTTATTTGGTCAAATATCCTCCTCCACTTCTGTCACTATCATACCTCTGCCCATTCCCATGTGTTAACCAGAGCCCTGTAGATATTTATGGCTCTGGTCTCAGTGTAATTCTGTTTGGCCAAATGTGTTGTATGTTATTCCCTGTATTGTATCACATGTTACTGTAGCAGGTCAGGCTTGTGTTGCGATCTACATTTGAGTTGTCACAGTTAAGCTCTGTTCACGTCCTGTCCATCTCCATCCTCCATGTGTCTGGGCTCTGGGTCCATATGTATGAAGCATCTCAGAGTAGGACTGCTGATCTAGGATCAGGTCTCTCCTGTCCTTGCAACCTTATTTATTGTGAAAATCACATACATACAGCCCCCTGGTCTGGTCTTATCAGAAAGAAGCTACAGTGACAGATCGGACATACACACACACACACACACACACACCTGGGCAATGTGTCTATTGTCTAACCATAACCTCCATCTGTCTACTATGACTTGAGCCCCTTCTTCCGTGGTCATTGTGTTCTCCCCTGACGCCAAAGTTTCTTAAATCTTTGCAGACGCTATCAGAAACTACAGAAGATAATGAAGCCATGGTAAGCCCTCCCTTTCCCTTCCCCTCCCCAGTCAGATAACTGCCCTGGCTGGCTTTGTACTCTTCCCTCTAATCTACCCGGCAACTGAGTCTGCATGATTTAAAACTCAGGCCCTGGTGCTTCTATTAAACTGATGGGAAACAACATGGCTGCCATTGCTGGCTTTCATCTTGAAATCAAACTTGTTTGTTTTGTTTATCTCTGGATACGTCCCAAATGGCACCCTATTCCCTATATAGTGCACTACTTTTCACCAGGGCTCAGGCCCTAAATAGGGAATAGGGTGCCATTTGAGACGTATCCTCTGTGTACCATGTAACCGAATCAGCTTTGTTCTCAAATATTTGCATGAGGTATTGGGCAATTGGTTGAGGTTCAAAGGGAACTAAACACACACTTGTTTCACGTGGGACATTGTTTTGAAGAGCACCATGACAACAATCCATAAGGAAACCCACAGGCCAAATTCAGAGATTCTTCTTCTTGGATGCTTGGTGCTCTTCCTAAACTTAGAAAATGGTGTTTAAGGGTGTATTCACTAGTAACCAAATGGAAGCTAAACAGGCTGAAACGGTGAGGGACCTACCTGAACTTTAAAAACAATTAGAAACACTTGTTTTAGTTCCAAAACGTTTTACATCGCAAAACCTTTTGCTACGGTTTGCATTGATGAATACACCCCAGGTGATGGGAACTTTAATGTTAGGTGGTGGTGGTGGGTTGTTAGAGATGTTAATTGGGCAGTCCTTTACACCCTATTAATTTTAATATGAATATTCTGCAGTTCGCTGTCCTCACCCTGTAGTGTAAAGACATCATTCTGTAGGGTTACATTCTTTGGTCTTGTCAACATGTCGTTCTTGCATCTTAAATCAGTCAACTTTTTTAGAATGTACAGGTCTACAGCATTAGAAAAGTAAAATCATTTTAGTAGGATCATGTACTTTATATTAACATGATCATTTTACACATCACGTAACTTCCCACTGCCATGTGCAAACGCTTACTCACCACAGTCCAACCGTGGACTAAGTACTACTAATTAATTAAGTATTACTAATGAATGTGTCTGAGATGTGAGCCATGATGTTGTATGTGACCCAATGCGTTAATTAATTAACCCTCTGTTGCTAAGCCTGTAATGGGCCTGGTCCTGGTCTTATTAACCAAATCTTTGTTCGAATGTTGTTGTTTTTTATAAGCACTTTATATGATTTATAATGTAGAATTTCTTTACATATATATATATATATATATATATATATATATATATATATTGCCTATGTTTTTTTAAATGATGTTGATGAAATGTGTTTGTACATAAAAAGGACATATGACATGTTTTGTTTAAAATTTTAAATCTGACTGCAGGGGGCAATATTTTACAATATTTCCCACCTGATATCTAGAGGTGTGCTTCACCTTCTTGATTTATACAGTATTTCAGGTTTATGTCATGACTGTAATGTCAAAAACAACAATTAACTTACCTAATCTTCATTTATTTCCTGTCATTTGTATTTTTCTGTGAGATTTATGTAGGCTGTTTGTATTCCTGTTAACTTCTATTGGTGATTCAACATAACAGATTGAAACACTTTGCATTCAGACATTTGGATAAAAATCTTCCAGGAAGTAACTTTGCTTGGTCCTCCTTGGATGTCAACTCTTGTCTCTACTAATAACTATCTACTAGTTACTGCATGGGAATGATTAATGAATGAATGCTCTCCAGCTCCGTGGCTCTGCTGCCCTGCGCTGTCTGGCTCCTGCTGGCTCTCTGGCGCCCCCTGTTGTTAATGGAGGACTGAGTCATCTGTCTGCCCCATCAGGAGCCGCAGTCATCCTCCTCCCCTCTCGCCTTTCTGTGCCCTCAGCATACCTGGCTGTGGCTTCACCCTCTCCTCTTCTCCTCTCTCCCTAAGACCAAGACTTTTGGCTGCTTTGTGGCTGTAGCTAAACGTGTGTGTCAGCGCCAGTGGCAGAGACGTTTCTATTGGCTGTTGTTGTTGTTGTTTCAGTTTCGGCGACCTGTTGTCGTTCACGCTGACAGCGTTTGTGGAGCTCATGGACCACGGCATCGTCTCCTGGGATACCTTCTCTGTCGCCTTCATCAAAAAGGTGCCTGCTCATTAGCTGTGTGTGGTGGGGGCGGGGCTGTGTGGTGGGCGGGGCTGTGTATGTGTGCTCTTCTCTGTCGCCTTCATCAAGAAGGTACCCCAACAAACCAATATCAAGTTGTATAATAGATCATATGTAAGAACTATTTGCAAAATGAGAAAGAAGGTGCACGAACAAACCAGTATCATGTTGAATTGCTGATCATGTGTAAAAACTGAAATATATAAATAAGGTGCCCTCAAACAGTTTATAGCATGTATTAAGCGTGTTTATAACATGTTTATAATACCATATACAGGAATTATATGATATTAAAGTTTGTCAACTTTTAAGAAATACATCTGAAATAGAGTCCATTTAGTCTCTGAATAACAATCCCCATGTGATTATTTTCACCTCTTAATGTGTCTTCTAGTCAGTTACTAACTCTCCTCTATTGCAGATTGCAGGTTACGTGAACAAGTCAGCCATGGACACGGCTGTGCTGCAGCGGTCCCTGGCCATCCTGGAGTCCATGGTACTCAACAGTCAGGACCTCTACCAGAAGGTGGCGCAAGAGATCACCATCGGACAGCTTATACCCCATCTGCAGGGGTGAGCGAGAGAGCGCGGTCGACTGCACTCAGCTATGTTATTATATGCCTGAGATAGAAGTTATCCCTAACTGCAGCTCTAGGATCAGATTACTGTGAAACACTCTTTAACCTTTAGGAAGATTTGACAAAATAGATTTGGGGCTGTATGTATCAAGTGTCTCAGAGTAGGAGTGCTGAACTAGTATCAGGTCCCTCCCTGTCCATATAACCTTTTTCCTTATGATCTAAAAGGCTAAACTGATCCTAGCTCAGCACACCTACTCTAAGACGCTTGATACAAACGGCCCCTGGTCCTAGATCCAAGGAGGACCACAGGAAGAGTAGCTGCTGCTTTTGCAACAGCTAATGGAGATCCTAATAAAATACCAAATACCAAAGCCTGTTATAGCTCCATTGATCTAATGAACTTAAACTCTCCAGTGTCCATGATTGGGAAGTACTGTAACAGAAAGCAGCCAATATCCCTGTATGTGTAGTGTATAATAGGTCCAGTACTGACATAAAGTGATTAGTACTGACATGGCTGAGTAGCCACACTACTACTGACCACAGCTACTGACCACATCCACACTACTACTGACCACAACTACTGACCACATCCACACTACTACTGACCACAACTACTGACCACATCCACACAACTACTGACCACAACTACTGACCACATCCACACTACTACTGACCACAACTACTGACCACAACTACTGACCACATCCACAACTACTGACCACAACGGCCACATCCACACTACTACTGACCACAACTACTGGCCACATCCACACAACTACTGACCACAACTACTGACCACATCCACACTACTACTGACCACAACTACTGACCACATCCACACTACTACTGACCACAACTACTGACCACAACTACTGACCACATCCACACAACTACTGACCACAACTACTGACCACATCCACACTACTACTGACCACAACTACTGACCACATCCACACTACTACTGACCACAACTACTGACCACATCCACACTACTACTGACCACAACTACTGACCACATCCACACTACTACTGACCACAACTACTGACCACATCCACACTACTACTGACCACAACTACTGACCACAACTACTGACCACATCCACACTACTACTGACCACAACTACTGACCACATCCACACTACTACTGACCACAACTACTGACCACATCTACACAACTACTGACCACAGCTACTGACCACATCCACACAACTACTGACCACATCCACACAACTACTGACCACAACCACACAACTACTGACCACAACTACTGACCACATCCACACAACTACTGACCACAACCACACAACTACTGACCACAACCACACAACTACTGACCACAACCACACAACTACTGACCACATCCACACAACTACTGACCACATCCACACAACTACTGACCACATCCACACAACTACTGACCACAACCACACAACTACTGACCACAACTACTAACCACATCCACACAACTACTGACCACAGCCACACAACTACTGACCACAACCACACAACTACTGACCACATCCACACAACTACTGACCACATCCACACAACTACTGACCACATCCACACAACTACTGACCACAACCACACTACTACTGACCACAACCACACAATTACTGACCATAACCACACTACTGACCACAACTACTGACCACATCCACACAACTACTGACCACAACCACACAACTACTGACCACAATCCCACAACTACTGACCACAACCCCAAAACTTCAGACCACAACTAGTGTAACTATAACTATTTACATTTGCATAATTACCATAATATAACTCACCAACAGTAATTTTTGAACCGTTCAAGCTAGATACACCAACTAAACTTTTATATGTTCAGGCTATCCTAACTTTTCATCTACCTACTTTTTCAACTATAACCAGTCACCACCATTACTACTGCAGACACTACCACTACTATAACATTAACCAGTCACCACCATTACTACTGTAGACACTACCACTACTATAACATTAACCAGTCACTACCATTACTACTGTAGACACTACCACTACTATAACATTAACCAGTCACTACCATTACTACTGTAGACACTACCACTACTATAACATTAACCAGTCACTACCATTACTACTGTAGACACTACCACTACTATAACATTAACCAGTCACTACCATTACTACTGTAGACACTACCACTACTATAACATTAACCAGTCACTACCATTACTACTGCAGACACTACCACTACTATAACATTAACCAGTCACTACCATTACTACTGTAGACACTACCACTACTATAACATTAACCAGTCACTACCATTACTACTGCAGACACTACCACTACTATAACATTAACCAGTCACTACCATTACTACTGCAGACACTACCACTACTATAACATTAACCAGTCACTACCATTACTACTGTAGACACTACCACTACTATAACATTAACCAGTCACTACCATTACTACTGTAGACACTACCACTACTATAACATTAACCAGTCACAACCATTACTACTGTAGACACTACCACTACTATAACATTAACCAGTCACTACCATTACTACTGTAGACACTACCACTACTATAACATTAACCAGTCACTACCATTACTACTGTAGACACTACCACTACTATAACATTAACCATCACTACCATTACTACTGTAGACACTACCACTACTATAACATTAACCAGTCACCACCATTACTACTGTAGACACTACCACTACTATAACATTAACCAGTCACTACCATTACTACTGTAGACACTACCACTACTATAACATTAACCAGTCACTACCATTACTACTGTAGACACTACCACTACTATAACATTAACCAGTCACTACCATTACTACTGTAGACATACCACTACTATAACATTAACCAGTCACTACCATTACTACTGTAGACACTACCACTACTATAACATTAACCAGTCACTACCATTACTACTGTAGACACTACCACTACTATAACATTAACCAGTCACTACCATTACTACTGTAGACACTACCACTACTATAACATTAACCAGTTCACTACCATTACTACTGTAGACACTACCACTACTATAACATTAACCAGTCACTACCATTACTACTGCAGACACTACCACTACTATAACATTAACCAGTCACTACCATTACTACTGTAGACACTACCACTACTATAACATTAACCAGTCACTACCATTACTACTGTAAGACACTACCACTACTATAACATTAACCAGTCACTACCATTACTACTGTAGACACTACCACTACTATAACATTAACCAGTCACTACCATTACTACTGTAGACACTACCACTACTATAACATTAACCAGTCACTACCATTACTACTGCAGACACTACACTACTATAACATTAACCAGTCACTACCATTACTACTGTAGACACTACCACTACTATAACATTAACCAGTCACTACCATTACTACTGTAGACACTACCACTACTATAACATTAACCAGTCACTACCATTACTACTGTAGACACTACCACTACTATAACATTAACCAGTCACTACCATTACTACTGTAGACACTACCACTACTATAACATTAACCAGTCACTACCATTACTACTGTAGACACTACCACTACTATAACATTAACCAGTCACTACCATTACTACTGTAGACACTACCACTACTATAACATTAACCAGTCACTACCATTACTACTGTAGACACTACCACTACTATAACATTAACCAGTCACTACCATTACTACTGTAGACACTACCACTACTATAACATTAACCAGTCACTACCATTACTACTGCAGACACTACCACTACTATAACATTAACCAGTCACTACCATTACTACTGTAGACACTACCACTACTATAACATTAACCAGTCACTACCATTACTACTGTAGACACTACCACTACTATAACATTAACCAGTCACTACCATTACTACTGCAGACCTACCACTACTATACCATTAACAGTCACTACCATTACTACTGTAGACACTACCACTACTATAACATTAACCAGTCACTACCATTACTACTGTAGACACTACCACTACTATAACATTAACCATCCACAACCATTACTACTGTAGACACTACCACTACTATAACATTAACCATTCACTACCATTACTACTGTAGACCCTACCACTACTATAACATTAACCAGTCACTACCATTACTACTGTAGACACTACCACTACTATAACATTAACCAGTCACTACCATTACTACTGTAGACACTACCACTACTATAACATTAACCGTCCTACCATTACTACTGTAGACACTACCACTACTATAACATTAACCATCACTACCATTACTACTGTAGACACTACCACTACTATAACATTAACCGTCACTACCATTAACTACTGTAAAGACCTACCTAACCAGTCACTACCATTACTACTGTAGACACTACCACTACTATAACTTAACCAGTCACTACCATTACTACTGCAGACACTACCACTACTATAACATTAACCAGTCACTACCATTACTACTGCAGACACTACCACTACTATAACATTAACAGTCACTACCATTACTACTGCAGACACTACCAATACTATAAATTAAACCAGTCACCCATTACTACTGTAAGACACTACCAACTACGATAAGTAACCATCACTACCATTCTACTGTAGACACTACCACTACTATAACATTAACCAGTCACTACCATTACTACTGTAGACACTACCATACTATAACATTAACCAGTCACTACCATTACTACTGTAGACACTACCACTACTAAACATTAACCAGTCACTACCATTACTACTGTAGACACTACCACTACTATAACATTACCAGTCCTACCATTACTACTGCAGACACTACCACTACTATAACATTAACCAGTCACTACCATTACTACTGCAGGACACTACCACTACTATAACATTAACCAGTCACTACCATTACTACTGTAGACACTACCACTACTATAACATTAACCAGTCACTACCATTACTACTGTAGACACTACCACTACTAT